TGAAAAGCTGCATCTTAATTACTAAGCCTCCTAAACACAGAGAGACAAGGCAAACTAAAATAATGTAAACTGAAAAAGTCTGATGTGCCAAGTATGTTGTTTGTTCACCCGTCCAGCTGTAGCAAATGTAACTTGTCACAATTTTACAAATGTGGGTGTGGAGGACCAGCCATAAACATATTCTGCCTCAAACATTCTGACTGTGATGACAGGTAAGATGTGAGCAAAGCAGAGGGCCCTGCAGAGGTGGGGCAGTGTGTTCTGAGCCAACTTCCTGCTGCACCTAGAGACTCCTGCTCAGCCTCCCCAGCCCAACTCACTCCCTGGAGGAGGCTCGAAGGGGCTGTGCGCACATGAACCAAACAGTGTGAAAACCTAGTTTACGTAAGAGATGTGTACCACGTTACCTATAAAAGGGAGCAGATTGTGCTCCCCCTCTCTTTTTTTTTCCTGCTCTCTCTCTCTTTCCTCTTTGTCTTTCACTCTCAAGGTTTGTCCCAACTCCAGAACATCCATATGGTAGGACCAACATGGGATCTAAGGACTGGTGATTTTCTGTGTTAGCTCTCTCCCTTTTCTGTCTCGATCCCTCTCTCTCCTTGCACTTTGCTTGGGCAAAGTAGAGTTATTATACTCTACCCTTGTACTCTTCACTGAAGTTTGCTGTGGGAGTGGGGAGACTGTGAAAAGTGGTGCAGTGGCTTGTTAGCCAGCACCTTTGAATATTGGTGTGCTGTGGCTTGTGAGCCTGTACCTTTGGTTGTGTGTTGCAGCTTGTAAGCCTGCAACTTTCAGATGTTAGTTGTGGGAACTGAGAAGTTACTGTACTGTCCTGTATTGTACAAATATTAAGGGCATGTTATCTTTTGCTCTTAAGGAAGTGAAGCATAAATTTAAGAGCTTGTTTGCTAACACCTTTTGGCTCCAAATATTGGGTTGGTTGCCAGAATTACGGCAACTGTACAATAAAACCTAAAGTTTCCTGACACATGGTCTGGTGTCTGTGTTCAACCTGATGAGAAATGATAAACATCACAGCCCCTACAGGTGGGTCGTGACAGTGGGGAGGGACAAAATAAAGGTAATTTCACTGTACATACACAGACAGTGGGTACACTACTCACAGGCTGGGTACACTGACTGCCTGCAGTTTCCAATTCGACACTGTGCATTTCAGAACTGTGGTCCAACAGTGCAACTTCCCAGGGATGGTGAGAGGTCTGACAAAGTAGCTTTTATGCATCTTTTCCCCAGCCAGGCTGTCCTTAGAACAACCTTAGTTTCTTTATTGACAATGTTTCTTATGGCCTTAAGACTAATGTCTCAAAATTGTTCAGGCAGACTGCAGACTGCATTTCTAATCATTCTGACTACTACAACCCCAACATTATGAACAAAATAGCTATCCCAGCAACTCTTTTCTACACCAGAATTACCCTAGGAGATACCACAGGACTGAATAACATGGGCACTTGCTTCCAATCCCCCTGACATCAGGATTCCTTCAGCATATGCCTAAGTGGCAATCTAGAAATATTCCTTAGAACTGAGACAGTTTCTTGCTATGATTTGAAAACATGGCTATTCTCCCTATATGGCTGCAGACTATTATCCACAAGGTTGATGTTTGTGCTTCTGAGATATGAGACACTGCAAAAGTGTGTTGTGAAACAAAAGTAATTCCCGTCACCAGAAAACCCTTTTTATTGCTGACCACATGAAGCTCTGGGCAAACCAAAGAGGAAAATACAGTCACTGTAGTGCTGGTTTGCAAGACTGCCTTAAGCTAAAGAAAGCACGTAGCACATAAACAAACCCTTCCACGTGTTTATGTGCTACTACCACAGTACTATAAAGCTGCTGACACCAAAATTTGTCCTGGTCATTATAGCTCTCCATGTGCTAAAGGCACCAGCCACTGCTTTGCTTGGCTCTCCTTTGCCTGTAGCCCATTATGAGTGCATTTATCATCTGCTGCTCCTATTCCCCCAAGCATTAGGGTCAGATTCAGGCAGCAAAAGACAGTCATTTCTGCCCCAGAGGAACAGAAAGAATGGAAATGGCAACATGCTGAGAGGACAGCAAGTGTTAGTGTTTCACTGGAAGAAGCTACAGGAAGCAATGAATATTCTAAGGGATGTGATCATGGTAAATTAATCCAGTGCTCAGAAACACCAGTAAATCTTGATTTCTCCTTAAAGCAAAACCTTGCCCAGCAAGACAGCCACTGTGACCCTGGCACATATCAGAAAAAATGCACATTCTTCCTGGTCAGTGGCAGGCCACCACAGTTTAATAGGTCAGCATCCTTTCCATACAGTGGCACTGCCTGGACACTATTCTCCCTCCTGCTTTCTAGAATCATATGGTGTTCACAGCTGTACTCACACTGTGCACATGAAGGCTTTGATAACTATATTTCAGAACAATTAATCCTTTCTTCTGAAAGAAAATCTTAATTACAGCCTTCTGTACAATTAACTTCAGCACTGCCTCCAGACCTCCTCCAGTACACATAAATACAACACTTAAACACATTCAGTCTTTTGAAAACTGCACTGATAACTCCCACCACACCTTGGCTTTTAGAGATGCCAATTCTTCTTAAAATAGGCAATGAAATTAAACCCATTTTCAATCCAATTAATGGAAATAATAAACCTGTACCACAACTTTAAGTGACACAAATCCATGTATGAAAGCTTTCATAATTTTATGCCCATACATAATAAAGCTTATGTTCTCAGCATTAGTGGCTAAGAAAGTCACAAACTATTTTACACCAAGTATTCTATTCAGTGTATAGGAAAACAATATACACATGAAATAACTGGGTTAATCTAGCCACAAACAATGCCTGTAAAAAGAGATGCTCACAAAAGTACTTCCCATTTTAGAGAAAAGGCTTGCTACATATCAGAGAGTGCTGCACATTCTGCAGCACTCATTTCACATCAACCCATGTACTTTATGTTCTGTATAAATATCCCATTTACCTTAAAGAAACTTCCTCTTTTGTCCAGACAACGGGTTTTCATTGTCAAAGATGACATCTTCCCTGAGAAGACTCCACTGTATGTCTTGAACTCCTAAAAGTAGAGACATTTTTAAAATAGTTAGTCCAGTCTGTAGGAAATGCCTTTGCAATTCTAAGCCACAGAAACAGTCACAACAAGCCTTCTGCCAAAACCCTTTCTGTCAACAACACTGTGCCATTTATTTCCTACCAGAGTCCTTACATATCCCTTCAGTCTATTATTTTTCCATAAATCGCTTCAAAAAAGACAGCACTACTCAAGAGTTCCACGTTTCTCCCTTCTCTTCACAGCTGATCCTGTAGTTGTGAGTAGATTTCAATGTGCTCAATAAAAAAGAATGCTAAAGCATAACGATTGCCTTCTATGTTTGCTTGACCTCAGCCTGCAGTGCAAATAGAACAAAATGTTAGATGTCACTATAATCCACTCTCAAATATTACAGTGTCAATAGGACTGGCCAGGAGGGAAAACATATTTTAAATCACCTACAAGGGAGCAAACACATTAGCAGTAGTGTAAAAACAAACAAACAAAACCAAAAACAATCACAAAACCAAACAAAACCCAAATACCCTCACAAAAAGCCTGAAGTTCCCAAAATGCAATTCAGTCAGATCCAAGTCAGGAACTGAGGATGCAATCCGGAATAAGTTGCACTTTACACCATCAAGTGAACCGAACAAATGGTTTAATGCCCAGGAGACTATACTAATGCAGCACTAGAACACAGGCAAATAAGGACAAATACCATGGGGGTGACCTCCAGCTGAAAGTAGAGGAGCAGAGTTCCTCTAAAGTCACAACCAATTCACACCAGTAAATTGTGAATAAACTTCTAAGCAAACTTTGGAATTAAACAGGCTAAAAATTCCATCTATGATTTTTAAAGGTGAGCTTATAATTGTATTTCAACAGCCTAACTCCTCTTCACCCACACACCCACAAACCACATAGCAGGTAGTTGTGTTGGAAGTTACAGTTACCTAAATGGTGAATAATGCAGGTGCAAAATATTACAGAGTAAGACAGAGGCACTGCTTTTGTTTGAGAGCAGCAGTGAAAAACAAGTTTAGCAGCATGGCTGCAGAGGGAGCTTGAGCACGACAAGATAGCTGGGACAGAGAATGCTGACACGTAAAAAACCAAATTTGACTTATACCTCAGCCCATGCACACATGCTTCTGCTCCCCTCTAATGCCTTAAGGAATTGACAGGGGTAAGGCAGATCAAGGAGGAAGGACAGGCTTAAAAGAAAAAAGGGTTAAATGAAAAAACCCTGGCCAGCAGAAGTACTGGAAAAGGGTGAAAGCCAGGAACAGGAGAAAAACCTTCCTTTGGTTTTTACATGTAGCAAGAAGTTCTAAATAGTTCACCGTGTTTCCAGAGGTCATACCACAAGCGCACTAGTAAAGGTTACATTTTTCCACTGGGATTCTGGTTAAAAAAGCAGCCGTGCCAAGAAGCTCAGGAACACAGAATCATAGAATCAACCAGGATCACCGAGTCCAACCCTACCATT